AAAAAAAAAAAACGGCTTACTGTACGATATACTTGGCAGTGAAAGTTGCAGCTGATCAAAGTTCACTAGAGTAAAGGCACTCGTCTACAAGCTGACGAAGATTTGGGTTTTCCAAGGCTGCAGCAACTCTTTCTTTGTCATTTAACTGCTTATTAACTGCAACAAAGACGAAAGTAAATCTTCAGAATTAACTTGGAGTAGTGTAGGCAGCAGAATAAATGAGGCTCCATAATGTTATGCAACCAAGACAGAAACTGTGTTTAGAAAGCTAAGCATTCAAAAAAGCACATTTGCAAACTTGTGAGTTGAAAATAAATGTGAACGTAAAAGAAAGACAAAAAGAAAAATAATGTCGACCATCCACCTGAGTTTGCTACCACTCTATGTTCCCAGCAGATTACAGTAAATTGCATTTTAACAGAACCAACATGACACCATTATCAGAAGGTACCCTCCTGTGACACAACTAAACATCACTACAAGCATTCATCCTCAAATATTAAATTCGTGTCTACTTGTGCCAACATCAAGAATGCACATCAAGAGTCACTTGAGAAACCCCATAACCATCATTACTAATAAAGATGAAGTTCCTTGTGCTTCCAAAGTTCTCTCCTGTTTTAGTTTCCAACAATGTTCATCAAATTGACATTCTTTATCTTAGCGTACCCCAAGAGACATGCACCCATGTGCAGTAATGTACACAAGTGCTCATACAAGCAACAAAACACAAATTTGCCTGTCTGTATCTACATACGCATAAAAAAGTATGCATATCGAAGGGTTTCTCTTACATTGGTTAATCGTTGAGCACATGTTTAAGTAATGGCTTAAACAATTTTATCTAGTGGCTCGATATCAGTTGTTTGGTTGTCTTAAAGTCAAGGGAGCTTTTCATTACATTTTAGAATGAATCCTAATGGAGTGGGATTTTTTTTTTTTATAACCGTGAATGTCCGGGAAAGATTGCGCGCACATCGATTAATCCCACGAGACCCTAAAGTTTACAACCGGTACTCACCTCAGTGATCTTGAGGGAACTCAAATTGGTGACCACTGAGGAGCAAACTCAAGGTATGACCAATTGAGCAACCTCTCAAGGTTTTGATGGGGTGGAATTAAGCATAAAAATAAAAAAGGGTTACTAGAATCCTATTAAGTTTGCCAAAATATATGTAGGGAGCNTCGCCGACACGTGTCGGAGTTCCTTAAGGCGTGTCGGATGGCTGGAAGAAGAAGTGAAGAAGAAATAAAGAAGAAAATGGCAACTGTGCATCCGGTGACTGGTGGGGAAGAAAGAAGAAAAGAAGAAGAAAGAAGAGAGAGGATGAGGAGACAGTGATGATTTGTGGGGAAGAAGGAAGAGAGAAGAAAAGAAGGAGAGAGAAGATGAAGAGGCGGAATGGAACTGCCGAACTGGGAAGAAGGAGGAAATGGAAGAAAGAAGAGAGAGAAGATTAAGAGACCTTTTTATTGACTTTTGTATGTATTTATCCTATTACATTGTGCTGTACGCAGGGACCAATTATTGGTCAATACATTAATGCCCTGTGCAATATTTTTTTAGTACCTATTTAATTAATTTTTTTTCATCTTAATTCTTCAACAATAAAAATTAAAAAATAATATTTTAATGCACTGTTAAATTAAAATAAATTAAAAAATAATATTTTAATCAACGTGTCGACAACGTATCGTGTCGGAGCTTTTTTTAAAAATTGCGTGTCGACGTGTCCGACACGTATCGTGTCGGACACTCTTATCCGTGTCGGTGCTTCTTTGGTCTGACCAATTGAGCAACCTCTCAAGGTTTTGATGGGGTGGAATTAAGCATAAAAATCAAAAAGGGTTACTAGAATCCTATTATGTTTGCCAAAATATATGTAGGGAGCGCTATTTCATCCACCATTTTTATACATCCACAAATTTTAACCAAATACAAATTATTTATAATAATAGAAAAACATATATAACGTTATCAAACCTCTAAAAACAATCAAGGCTAATATATTATGCTATTTTACAACATATTACGTTACTTATCTCCAGAAACAATTAAGGCTAAACCTAATGGTGGCACAACAGTTTGAGTAAATTTCATTACCTTCAATGTAAAGTTAAGAAAAAAATTTTGATTTTGGCTCTCAGGTTCCAAGAAAATTGTAGAGAAGAAAAAAGGAATTTTATTGGCTCCTCGGAACACAGCAGGTAATTTTGGTTTTCTTTCATTTTTGTTCCTTCAAATTGTTTTTCATGATTTTATGTGTTCTATTTGTATTTTAACGGCTTTAAGGTAAGAAATTTAGCCCTTGTTTGAACCCCGTTTTGGGGAAAAATGCATTTGGAATAATGATTTTTTGGAAAATGTGTGATTAAAAAATAAGAAAAAATTTCGATGTGCGTGTAAAATTATTATATTTAACAATGTGTGGTTGAAAATGAATTTTGAAAAAAAAAATTATGAAAAAATGGGGCTTAAACAAAGGCTCAGTAGCAGATTTGAGTATCGGAAGCTTGAATTTGTTGCAAAGATTTTTAAAAATTTCATGTACATTTTTCTCTGCATTTTGTTTTATAGAAATAGGTATATGGATTTAGACGGATAGATTTTATTTGGTTTATTCTTGTCTATTCAAGTAAATTCACATAAGGTTAAAAAAGTAATAGAGAATTTTTTTAAAAGTGGGTAGATATATAAGAGTGATGAATGAAAATAGCGGATCCTTATATATGTTTTACGAGTCTCTGCATTACTGTATTTATTATCTATCTTCTCTCTCTTTATTGGTTGAGATTAATTATCCCATGAAAAATTAGTCCCCATGCATACTACTAGGTGTCCATTCATCTCATCTTTGTAAAACTCATAAATTACTTGCATAGGGTCGGATAGATCCTATATATTATGCGCTTGGCTTCTCAATACTTCAGTATTTATCAATAAACCTATCAATCATCAAAACTAAAAGTAGGAGCATCACTAGTAACATAGATGAATTTCACCTGAGTTTTCATCTGCATGAGATCCAGGAGCCACTTTTATATCTACCTGAACATCATATGTGAACTTGTTAAGATAGATGCAATACCAAATTAGGGAAACTCCAAGTATATATTTGAACTAAACATGCAAACGCAAAATTATATGTTCATACACGTTTCAAGCATTTAATCAATATGCTCATCTGGTAATTCACCTATGTATCAAAATCATTTTGCCTTGTGATAAGGGTTTTGTTTTCTTTGACACAGTTATGTTTAGGGGATAAAAAGAGAGAAGTGAACAGAAGAAGAAGATAGCCAAAGAGAAAGGTGAATATCTTTCAGCTCTGCAAGCCAAAATGGTCAGACTAGTTCTTCCATTCTTTTCAATGTTCACAAGAAAAAAATAATATTCAAATTCAAAAGTATGTACTCATTTATGGTTAACAGACAAAAAGAAGAATGGTAGATAAAAGATTCTTTTTCTTTGATTAATTATCTTTAGAGGTTACCATCTCTGTTCAAATCTTCTCAAATTTGAACCCATTCTGGGCCATAATTGTAAGGTTTTCATTCATAAACTTATTGCTTTCCTGATCTTTGTTTGCAACTGGTAAATGGAATAGTGTTGCTGCTGATAGTTGAAGTTCAACTATTTTGCTTCCTAGCTTGACATTGTTCTTCCAAATATTTCAATATATCTGAAAATGGTTTATATCTTCTGTAACAAGATAGCTTCTCAAAATAATGCAAGCCCATTCCACAAACAACGAAAAAAAAAATAGAATACATCAACAACTTAGATATTGATCCATACTCCCTCCGTCCCAATTACATAGGCTTGTTTCGTTTTTCACACAGATTAAGAAAGTTTTTTTAATGTCGTTGGAAAATTAATTTTTATCAAGGTCTTTCCTAGTTTACCCCATGTTTAATTTTCAGTATGTAAAACTAAATTATTGTTGTAATTAATAAAGAATTTGAATGATATAATTTGATGAGAGTTGTTCCATGTTTCCAAGAAGTAGGAAATGTGTGTATTTGAATGATTTCAAGAAGTTGGCATATTAAGTGGAAAAAATTTAATAAGGGTATATTGGTAAAGGAACACAACAAAATATTCTATATTAGGAAACAGGCCTATATATTTGGGACAAAAGAAAAAGGAAACTCAACTTATATAATTGGGATAGGGGGAGTATAATCTTCTATTTAAAGAAGTAAAAGCAATGAAATGAAATGGAGGATCATTGTATTAAAATAAAAATATAAATTTTTCGTTGATCGTTTGGGAGCTCATTCGATGGAACTTAAACCTCCTAAAACATCAACGAAAGGCCTGTTTTTTTCATTTTGAAATGACGCACACCAACTTTATTACTTTTTCACTCTTACATAGAGAAAATATATGAACCACTATTCCTAAAACGTATGCACGCATACTCATTTTTTAGAAAATACTCATATAGCTAGTCTACCCACTGTTGACTTATTCAGCTAATATAAATTACAAAAGTTAAAATAAATGGTATACTAATTAAAAAAAGGATCATAAAGTTACACCACACTAGAGGTGTCAAGACGGACGAGCAGACCAGACCCGAGAAAATCGGCCCGAATCGACCCGGGACAGCAGGCCGACCTATGACCCTAGCAGGCGGTTCAAGGGTCAAGGGGGTGTGACCCGTGGGCTTCGCGGGTTAGACCTTCACGGGCCAACGGGAAAATTTTTTTTAAAAAAAAAATTTGAATAAAATGGGGGAAAGAAAATTTGTTGATGAT